TCTTGTGTATAGTGGTTGAAGTGATAAGTAGGATAATATAGAGTAGAAGGATTGGTTATCATTTACTTCCAAGCAAGCTAGGAAGGAATGGTTGTTTTGTCATCGTTAGTTTGCTGGCCACTATAATTTTTGTTACTCACATCATGTGATTAACAGTGTTGCATGGGTTCTTCTAAATGGATGGCATGTTTGTATTTTGGACCTGCATCGGATTCTGTTACTCCAAAGATTGTTGAGGGATGCTTTTATGTAACATTTCCTTTTTGGACATTTGTTGGTTTTTTACTCCTGTATCCATGTCCATGCAACACCAAGACCGAGTTATCTGAATACCAACAAAGACTAGCTTGGAAATGGTTGTCTGATGCAATGATGGTCTGGCAGATTCTTTAGCTAGAACATGCTTTACAAGTGACAATCTTGTATATGGAACACCAAGGCTGGGAGGAGATTTGTAAAGGTCTTTTGTTGTAAATCTGGTGTGAGCAGCAAACTAGGGCTTTATTGGCATCCTTTTGTAAATGTTTATTTTAAATTTGATCCATTTGTAATGGGATCTAATAGAGATTGATCCCAAGCAATCAGTTATGATCTAATCTAATAATATTTAAGTATATATGCTTATATCTACACAAAATTAATATGTATCTGTTAGTAAAGTTTGTTTGAATGTTATATGTTTACTAAAGAGTCGTAGGTTCAGATGTTATAGAACCTATTTTTATGTTACCTTATTCATAGTATAGAATATTGAAGTTAGTTTTAATTCATTTATTAAGTAATCTTGTTCACATTATAGAATATTGAGAGGTGGTGGAGTTCATGTGATTGATAGAGTTTCTACAGCAGTTTAATCTGAATCCAGATGAGAGGATATTATACTCTGGTCTGGAAGCCTCGGGAGGTGGTGGAATTTCTGCATTTTCTACAATTTTCTAGTATTTTTCTTCAATTTTCTGATTTTTTTTCTGCAACTTTCTGCTATTTTTATGCATTTTTGTAATTTTCTGGTAATTTTCTGCATTCTGCAAATTTTTGGTATTTTTTGCATTTTCTGGTGTTTTCATGCATTTTCTGCAATTTTATGATTAATTTCTGCATTTTTCTAGTGTTTTCATCCATTTTCTTCAAATTTCTGGTATTTTCTGTTATTTTCGGGTATACGGGTGAACCCGACCCGCTTATACCACGTGGCAATCTCGGGATAGTTGTTTCTCTCAAAAAATTGTTATTTTTCGGGTATACGGACTGACATGACCCGTTTATGCCATGTGGCATCATTGAGAGGTGTTTCATCAAAAAGTGTTATTTTTTGGTACATGGGTCAACCTGACCTGTTTATACTACATGGCAGTCTTGAGAGAGTTGGTTATTTCAAAAGTTGTTATTTAGGGTATACGGGTCAATTCGACCCATTTATGTATTTATATGCGATGGTAAGTGAGTTAGTATGGCTGAGGGTGGACAAGGGTCATATGAATGTGTCAAGTGGGTCAATATGGGTGGATCAGGGTTAGAGTGGGTTATGACCCTTTAACAAGCATTGATGATGGGTCATGATGGGTTAGTGGGTCAAGATGGGTGGATTGATATTCAACCCTTACCCAATCCAACCCAACCCACCCATTTGCCACTCCTAAATTAATGTATACCAAGCAAGAACTTGAGTTCTGACTTCTGAAGCTAGCAACTCTTATCACAGACACAGAGCATGGGCGTTGGTGTGAGTGCTTTGCTTTCACATTTACTGGTCAGTCTCTTTAACTGGGAAACAAACACAAACGCAATTGCAAAGGGTGAGCAGATCCAATTTTTACTTGCTAAAAGCTGGCTTTGAGTCTGATAGATGATTACCCAACGCTTCAATCTGTGTTTCTTGGGAATGTGAAAGACAAAGATGGGACCTCCCTGAGCTTTTAACTAGATGGAAGATGGAAACGTGGATTTCATAAACCTGGACGATCGCAGGTTTCACAGAGCATGCATATGTAAAGAGAGCTCCAGTCATGTATGTAATCTATAAATGGTAAGACAGAGCATAACAGCCACATAAACTCACCTGCATTGCCGCATTGCAGTCCCCTTCGAATGCGGCCATGTGGGTTTTTTATCAAACAGATGGAAGTAGTTCAACTCCATGCAAAAGGAACTGGTCAAAGGGTATTTTAGGTAATGAATTTCTCTGGTCAGTCGGGCATCAAGGGCAGAATACGAGAGTCTTAACTCCTAGGTCCTAACACAGGAGATGAGGTAACTAAAAAACAAACATTTCCTGAGTAGGGTGGTCAATAAAATTATTCAAAAAATGTAGGGTCTGACTGTAATTTACCCATTTTACTTGTATTTTCTTACAAAAAAATTTTACTTGTATTTTCCACCACTATATGCACCACCATGTCCAGGACATTCATGAATGATATCTTTCTCTTCCTTTACAACTCAGCCCGTGTAGCTAAGCCTTTTATTTCTGTTCTTCTTCTTTGACTTGCTCCATCAATTTTTTTTTTTTTTGGAAAATGGGAAGATTGGCATCATATGGAATGACACTGTGGAGGTATAATGTCAAAGATCAAAAATACAATGAGAAAAAGAAGGGATTGAGGGCAATTTCCATTTCTTTTAACATTATGAACTTTGTGCATTTTTTTTTGTTTTTTGTTTATTTTTTCAAAATTTCACAGGAGGGTCATTTTTATGCTATTTAATTATTAAAAATTTATTTTTAAAAATACCTTAAAAAGTACATCAGTATCCCAAAGATACGATATTACGATACAATACACCAGATTGATATTTTGAACAGAAAAACTAAAAAGTGGGTCTAATATTTGCTTAAATTCAATAAATAGTATAATAATGCTAAAGTAAGAAGAAAATCCTGAAATTATGTGGGATTTTTTTGGTAGATAAATTATGTGTGATTTCAATAAACAGTACAATCTTCCATCTAACACCAATCTAGAGGTGGAAGATCATCCTCATTTACTAGGCATGGGCTTAACCCATATAAAATGGCAATCATCCTGGCCCCTATCAGATCAACAGTTTAGCAAGTAGAAGTAGGGGTCCAGATGGACTGCTTCATTTAAAGAATTTCAGCTGCATGCCAACATCAGGCTCAAGCCCATTCAAAATTTAACAAATTCTCAACCCAAGTTGACCCCCAGCACAGCCGCATGAGTGACACGTTAGATTGATCATGTATTACAATTCCCCCAGAACAAGCTAGCTCTGGATTTGCTTGTTATTATTAAATAAGAAATGTATCTGATACTTGCAAGAAGAAGTTGCTTGTTAAAATACAAGTATACCCAAGTGTTCCAAAGTAAATTTTGTCATTGAATATGACTTCTCTTCTTTGGGATATCACTTTCAGTGTAAAGGGTGATGGTATCCACACATCCATGATCCAACAACGACTTTGTCCTGGTGGTGTGTAATCACAAACGAAAGGTCAAAAAGCAAGCTTTTGCTGTGTTGTCAAACACCATAAAGGCCAGAAGGTACCTGAAAAGAAGTAGAGCTATAGAAAACTCCAATGTCAATTCATTTTATAAAAGCTGTATCTCAACCTAGCCCTGTAAAGTTGCCTATACATAGACTGAGCTTTTAGATTTGTAAGAGAGGACTCTTCCAAGCCCATTGACAAACTCCAACAATGGCTTAGGCCAATAAGGTGAAATGCTCAAGTCTTTATCATTCTCCACCAGTTAGCTCATTTGACAAGTGAAAAGCCGCTCAATGTAAACTCTAAAGGTGTGCTAAAAATATTTTCTCCTTGGCATAGCATTTGACCACCCATCAGGTCGGAAACTCCCCTATGAAGAACAAAAGCATTAATGATTTCTCTTTTGAGTTTGAACTATAAACCTATAACTAGGCTCATATTATTCTAATTTAACTAATTTGTGGTCATTATCTACTAAATCCTGCACCTGAAGAACCCTCAAGATTTATCCTTTGGAAGATCTATAAAGTATTAACCCCCTTACTTAATGATCAAACAAAAGCATATAAGCTGCTACTGTGACATGCATCTCTAACAATACAAGGCAGGGATTCCCTGAGGAAGAAATGAAGAGCCTTATTTTATGCTCTTCTTATCGTTCATGGCTAGAACATCAAACAAAGATTGCTATCATTTCTAATTGTGATCTGCTGAGAACAAGTATAATAAGTTGAAAATTTTTGTAAGAGGTTTTAGCAATATCCTTATGGAGTAAATGTTCATCTGTAATCAATGAAGCCATAGCCTATGTGACAGAACTCAGAAGACCAAAGTTCCTAGCAATGTGGAGCTTATATAAAATAGCATTCTTCAGTTTGGAGAATTGATATGTGACATCTTGTTAGTTAACACAGTGATGATCTGCGTAAACGAAAAACTTTGGCACTCAAACTGGATTAATTTTTTGTTTCTAATAAACCACAAGAAACCAAAAAATAACGTATAGTTGAAGGGCAAATAGAACCACCTTGTAAAGACATCTGCATTGCCTTGAGAAACTTGGGCCTCATATTTTCCTGGTTCCCAGTTCAATTGCAATAACTTACATTCTATTAAAGATTTTCTCTAGTCCAAGTTTACTATGGAAGGATAGACGGAACCCTAGAGATTCAACTCCAAAATTAAAATTTGCTAAAGACATTTGATAGTTCATTTTTCTTTATAAATTTAGGGGGTGTTGGCCGATAATTAAGATTTTGTTTTTCCAAACAAATACCACTGATGTGGTAGTAGTTTTTGTTTTGAAAAACAAAACCATACACCTTGATGCACACCCTCTTAATGGTTTAAGTAACCTAGGAAGATTTAGAAATATAGAAAAACCACTATATACTTGGGGGGTTCTAGTCCAAGAACTACTTAATGTTTATGCTCCAGACTAAGATCTACTTAGTTGTACCAGAACATATCAAACTTTTCAGTGCAGGACACCAGAAAAAGAATTTCATAAGAATTATGTAATTTCTGTATTAAACTTTTGTATAATCTTACATTTATCAGACAAATCAGGTTGTACTTATAAATATATGAATGAATGAATTACACAGCATCCACCTCTAAGAGCTGTGGTGCTCCTCAGCCCGATGACATGGACAAAATAACCAGGCTACAAATTCTATGACAAGGACAATAAGACTTGACCTGTTAAAATCTACATCTCCTTGAGTGGGAAATCCAGCACAGCCAACATTGTAAGAACTTGAAAGGCCCCACATGGTAACAATGTAGGAACTTTACATAGAAAAATGGCCAAACGTGTCCTGAAATGCTTTGCCAGGAAAGTTAAGAGCCAAATTAACAGCTGCTCTTTCAATCACATACCAGGTCTCCCTCAGGAACTGGACGCATGGCAGCAGAGTTGGCAATTTGTCACAAAATCAGCAAACCCAGCCTCCTGCAGGAACTGTGCACATAGCAGAGAAGCCGGCCATTTAGCACAAAATCAGATAGGTTGATGAGCAGCCTTACAAATGCAGGCAGTATATATCATCACATCCCGTTATTCTGAATGTGGTTTTGATGAAGATCCTTCTGCACTCATAACCTCACAGGCAATCCAAAGTTAAGGAAAGTCCTTATTACTCCATCCCAGCCAGCAGTCACAATCACCAGACCCCAAGTTCCTGATAGATCTCTGAGGTTATTATAATAATGGTGTTGGTGGTACTGCTGGTTATCATGATGATGACCATGGTGTGCAACTTCAACAGCCCATACAGGTAGCTTCTCCTCGGGCCAGGTTGCAGAACCTTTTGATGGACAATCCACAGAGAACCAACCACCAAGAGATAAGCGTTCTGAATCTCTAAACCAGGAGGCGGCCTCTAGGAATTCTGGTACTTTTGAGGAATGCTGGAGACTGCAGCTATCTAAAACAGACCGTTCCTCTTCCATGCCTGACCACGGTATTGCAACAGATACATCATCATGGAAAAAATGCTCGCATGAGCGTATTGATTTTGCCTCTTTAGATAAAGGGAGACACAATCCATCATAATTCCAGACATAAACATGAGAATCCTCTCCCACTGAAATTATATGTCTTCCATTTGAAGTAAATGAGGCAGACATCTGACTCCCTGACTTCCGCAGTCCTGTTAATTGAAAATTTCCTAAAAAGGTAAGATTGATGCTCCATATTAATGAAAAAGGCAATCAAAATTCCAAGAAAAAAACATGCAAAAAGGCAAATGCAACAAGATTCAAATTGCTATATACAGACTGAACAAAAAGAAAATTTATTAAGTAGGCTAACGAAGACAGTAGAATTTTAAAAACCAGATAGAATGTCTAGAATCTAGATAGACTATCAATGGCCTATTGATGAGTCAGTATGCAGTTGGGCATCTAGATTACATAATTACTTAATAAAAATTATAGCCACAGCTTGTTAGAAATAGCTAATTGACTAATTATGAGGAAATTTGCAGGATGAATACAGAAAGAGTAAGTTTTATCTAAAACAGTGCTCCTGAAAACACATAATTGAAATAAGCATCTTACATTTTCAATTTCATTCAAGATATTAATGATTCCACATGCCTTATGATCAATATACTAAATAAGAAGCCTAAAAACAATCAGAGAGGTTAATCAAGAAAGCATGTTTACCTCTATATTTATGAATGACTTCAACCCCATCGAATATGCGAACTCTAGAATCTGATGATGTTATCATGACTCTTTGAGAACCATCCCTAGAAAACTGTGAGGACAGGAAAACAACAAGATTCAGAAAAATATTGGAAAATAATACTAGCATAACCCAAATTAGCAATTATTATGAAGGAAAATAGTGGTGAAGTATACCTGAATTCCAGTAATCCTGTTGCAAGAGGACTTCTTTCTACCCTGTATGCAAATTTGTGCATCGAACTCTAGATGATTATCTATATAAAAAAAATAAAGGATGTTAGCCTTCAAAGGCAACAGCTAATAATTCAGGTTTGATGCTTAAATTTGTAAAATTATCAACTAAAAACATAACAGAACCATGTACCTGTTGCATTATAGAAACGACATGTCCCTGAAACAGTACCAACAATGAATCCCTGCACCAATGAAATAATAAATCAGTTACAACCATGAAGAACATGTCCCTGAACCATAGTGGAATCAAATAGTTAGTAGAAAACCTGTGCATCTGGTTGATAACATATAGCAGTTACTAAATCTTGCACATCAGCCCAGTCAACAACTCGTCCATCAGAAACGCCCCATATTCTAACTTTTCCATCTATAGATCCACTGATGAAGTATCCATCATCAAGGGGATTGAACTGAATGCATGTTACTGGTGCAATGCAAAGAAAACGAATAGAACCAAATTTCTGAAAATGGCAATATATACCATGAAACCAAACAAGAAATAATTTAATAAAACAGGTTATTTTAATAAGACTACTATATTTACAACTGGTTTTTTTTGTTTGATCCTAGCAGAAAAAGTATACAAAGTGAAGCATAATTTCTTACCATAATTACTGTGTTGGAAAACGTTAAGGCATTGATTGCAACCAACTTGCCACAGGCGAACAGTTTTGTCCTTGGAAGATGAAAGCAGAAACTGCAACAAAATTAAAAGTTAAAAATAAATCGGATACATAACAGACTTTAGAAAGAAAATAATCCTAATTGCTGTTTTTAAGCTGTTTCAAACACTCACATTAGATTTGGACCAAGACAAGTCCAAAATATCACTGGTATGGCCATGAAACTCCTGCAATGGTGACTCTTCAATCTTGAACACCTTTTTCGGTATGACAACAGAAGCAGACGCTGAATTCTTTCTTCCTCGAAAGAGTTTGACTTCTTTCTCTTTATTGATGAATTTGGAAGTACATCCATCATCTAAAAATTTGCAGGAAGCTTCTCCTGATGTAACACGCCAAATGCGAACAATCCCATCTTCACCACCACTTGCCAGATACTGGCCATCTGGACTGAATTTCATTGTCCAAATGAATCCCTTGTGAGCTAGAATTTCTTGTCCCATGAAAAGTCCACTAAACTCCATGATCCTTTTGCTGTTCTGTTGTACTCTCATTCTATTTGCCTTTGGTGCCTTGGGGTTTGTTAAGGAGACGTCAGATTTGTCCAATGATCCTCCCTTTCTATTGGCAATAAAGCTCTTCCACCAACTCTTCATTTTCTTACTTTTTTCTAGACCCTTTTTACTGTTTTTTGGAGGAACTATAACTTCCTCCTGCATAAGATTCTGAATAGACGGCAAAAGACCAGCAGATGTCTCCAAGTCTTGAGCTGAGGTTGATCTAGGTGAACCATCTTGCACATCTTCACGAGCCATGAAGTTGCTTTCTACATCTATACCATTTCCATTACAGAGCTTCTCTTCCTCTACTCTGTTACTGAATGAAGCCCACGAACTTTGGACAGTCTCACTGCATTCTGTGATCCTTTCAAAACTCAGGCGCTCATTGAAACTGCCACACGAAATATCGCTGCCAATTTCCCGGGAGAAGGAAGCAAGTTCACTGAAGCCCATTCCGTGTAGAAACCTCTTTCGTCGTTCCTGAATGCTCCCCGGTTCGTTCAACCAAATGTCGTAATCCGACTTGGCAAAGACCAATTCTTCACAAACACACCCAGAATCCTCAGACGACAAAATATCTGGATTCTGAATATAATCCAAAGAATCATAGAACACCTCTTCTTCTTCTACTTCCTGATCATGACTCAGCATGTTTTTGACTCCAGCTGACACCAAAATTCCACATCAAAATCCAAAGTTCTCACCACCTTCTGTGTATATCCAGTAAAAGCATCAACCGTTTAAATACCCACAACAAACCGTCCAAAACCCTAATTCAGGGAGCGAGTCTCCTGCTCGTTGCTGCTGCACAAAGTGATCCACAGACTGTAGCAATCAGAAGCAGTTTCAGAAAAGAATGGTTAGATACAAGGTACCAACACCATAGACCCGAAAAATATTGCAATACTGCTATTCTCATATGTATTCTAAAGAGCTCAAATAGAGAAACCCCACATCCACCCCCACCCAAAAAAAAAAAAGCAAATGAAACCCCGAAACGCAACAATAATCAAATGGAGGAACAGAGACCAAAGCTTCAATATTAGAGTATAATACCTCGATTTCCATGTAAAGCAATGTAGCCATTCAATATTATCACCCAAGTTACCGTGACTCCTGCAATATCCCTTGAGGTCAAAATCCCAAATTCAATGAAACAGCAAAACAAAACCCAAATTCCCTGTACCATATCCCAACCGAGGAGGGATTTCGTCCACGCAGTGAAAATTAAAAAAAAAAAATGGGGATCGGGAGAGAGAAACTAGAAATGAAGAAACGAATGAAAAACCAAAGAGGCGCACGAAATAAACCTGCGCACACACACACACCTCTCTTATAAACAGAACCCGCAATGCAGCAGGCCTCGAGATCTGGAAATGGAGATTGCAGTGCACGAGCGACAAACACGAGCGGCGCGACCCTGGAAACAACACTGTTTTCTGCAAAATCTAGCCACCTACCTCTGAAACGCCCGCTTTCCTTCAATCCATAGAAGGCCAAAAAGGAACAAGATTTTAGAAATCCTATTATTTCAAAAGCTGATTCAAGAAACCCAATTGAAAATTCCTAAAATGTCAACCAATAACAACAAAAATCAAACCAAACAATGAAATAATCCCAATTTTTTTCTTGTAAGAAAGAAGATTATTAATTTATTATAAGACAGAGAGAGAGTATACATTTATGGCGAGACTAGCAGAAGTGTGTGTTTTATATTTTTATACTAGATTTTATTTTTTTCAAGTAGCAATGTATCGATAATAAGCTTCTCCAGATTCCAGTTCCAACTTTTCCAACAGCCATAGTAGAGCTCTTTATAGACAGGAAGATAAAAAGGCATGGCTGTGTTAAGAGAGAGAGAGAGGGGGGGGAAGAGGGAGAAGGAGAGAGGGGTGCGTAGGTTTAGCCTGGTGATAGAGTCTAGTGAGGCTACCTAGTGAAAGCGATCGCTCGTTTCAGGGCTTAGATCCGGTTGCATTAGGCCATGGGAGACCGACAGATGTCAGCAACAACACTCTAACCAAGGGACAAGGGCATCTCTTTTTCTCTCTCCCTCTGTACTCTGTAGTAGCATGTACCTATCTCCCGTTTCTAGCTGAATCCCCTAGGCTTTCGCGCTCTCTGCTGAATTTCGCCATTAAAGGTCGTGGTTGAGGTTTGGTTTCGGTCCGCAGGTTTCTGGCTATTCAGGACTCTGTGGCCAATCCAACATAAGAATGGGAAAAAAATCCCATAGTACGGCCATAGGCATTTGTCTCTCGAACAAAGCCTAACAATAAAAGCTCCACACGGGATCGTTTCAGGCTTTCCGCCATTAAAGAAACCGTTTGAGCTCGTAAAGTTTCTACTTCCTTCTCAGCTACTTCTAAACCCAAGCCTTCGCCTTTTGGCAGTCACAAGGAGCAATATAAGCAAATTCAGCGATAGCAGGCCGGCTTATCAGAATTGGATCGTTGAGCATTCCCAAAAAGAAAACGAACCAGAAAAGGAAAGAATGAGAGAATCTTAGATCAATCGATTCGCAAATTTACCACGGCAAGAAATAAACAAAGGCATTTGGAAAATATCTTGCTTTGGCGTGGCGAGAGAGAATTCAAGGAAACTCCATCTTCCGATTCTTCCACGAATGAATTTGCCGGAATTGGAGTCGTACGTATGATCTTCAATTCGTCTTTTTCGATTCTCCGACACTCCAAATTTAGGGCTCGTGTCTCTGGTTTTTAGAGAGAGAGAGAGAGATGGAGAGAAAGAGAGATATCGTGTCTCGGCCTGACGTTTTGGTTGCAGAAACAGAAGTAGTAGTAGTAGCGATGTAGTAGTATCTTTCTGGGCTATAATAAGCCAGCCCAGCCAGTCGTACGGTTGGTGGGGGTCGGGGATAGCAGACGTGTGTTGGTACGGGCACAGCATGAGCTGTTCGAGGTGTGCGTGAAAGAACTTCCGCTGTGAGACGATAAGATTGATCATAGTCAAGTACTGGTGGTAATGCTCTGCCCCATCTACCGCACTCTCTCTCCGGGAGGAGCGACCTTTCATCCGCCAGATTAGAATCTGCATTACGCCTTTGTTCTGATTCGACGATTAGCATGCCTTTACTCAGTTAAGCACGGAATTGCAACTTGAGAAGCACCACGGAAGGAATCTCATCACGGGTTTCATTTTAACGACGTCCCGAGAAAACATTACATACGAACATCTGCCGTTGGAACACTGTAGATCCACAAAGACCGTTGGATTATGACCCTTTTATCTAGGGTCAGGCGATCGTGGGATGCATTTTGACCGTCTGTTTTTAGATGAAAGTAAAACGATGCCAATCCGATGTTCCCCAAAGATAGGATTAGATAGTTAAAAAATAATAATCAATAATGAGAAAGGGTAGGGCTACAAGTGGGCAATCAAAGTTGTAGGCTTGTAGAGGTGTCCCACCCACCACACATATGGAATATTCTGTGGGCTCAATGGATTATAGTAGAATTAATAATTCACCATGACCCACATTATGTCCCAGATTGGTGGTGGCCTCATGGCCTGGTGGGATGAATCAATTCTCACAGCTGCAGTAACCAACCCGTAGCCATGGCATTTGAAAGCTTGCTTTTATAGAAAAAAATAAATAAATATGATTAGAGTAATAACGGGTAGCCACAGCCAAAGTATTCCCTTAAAATAAAACAGTATGCAGAGAGTCCAGCATCCAGCCAGCCCAGAAGAAGAGCGATTCGGAGCATAAACGCGGTTTGTTGAGCAGCTTGAGCCTGCAATTTCATTAGTCAATCAATAAACAAAACCTAGAAATCAGAAACCAAAAAAAAAAAGAAAATGAAAAGGGAATTCCAGAAGAGCATTATTGGGGTGTTTGGTTAGTAATTACACAATCCCAACACATTGACAAGCCTAAAGAAAAGAAAACAGTAAATATAGGTAGATGGATATTTGAATTCCCATAGATGATAGATTCAACCAATTTTTTGTTTTACTTCTATTGATATACATATTACACATAACAGGGGATTAAGGGGGCGGGGACAAAGCAAGGTGTACGTGAGGTCTATTAACTTTAGTCATACCTCCAATTTTTTGTAATTCCATCAAATTATTCACCAATTTAAATGTACTTAGGGATAAGTTAGAGTTTGTGCCAATTTGCCAAACACAGCCTTATTCTAACTTATGAGAGAACGACTCTGCCTAGTTAAAACAAGTGATTAGAAGGTTCCAAGTTCCAACCCGTAAAAGAGACAAATTAACATAACCAAGTAACCAACCAAAACATGAGAAGTCAGTACAAAGTGAGAATTGGAGTCCTCCTTTTTAGGCCTATATATCTTTTAGTGCCCAGTTCACCTTGTTTCTTTTTTTTATATTCGCATTTGAGTCTCGAGGAGAGCATAACTGCATCAGCAGCTTGGCAACTCTGAGACAATGTAAAGCTATTTTGTAGCGTTTTAATGAGATCAATTGAATCAGAAAAAAAGAAAAAGAAGAAAGAGAAAGAAAGTGTAAGCAGCTTCTCTTTATTTAATTCACACATGGCGGCCTAACGGGATTTGAAAAAACTCTTCCAAAAGTAGCTTTGCAATAGAGCTTGTGCTTTCTTCATTCTTTCTTATAAATTAATTATGAATTGTTACACGAGGAGGTGCAAGTGTACCAGTGTAGCTGAGTGGCTATCACCCCACTCTGGGTCTTGGAGTTGGGGAATCCCCGTGTGGTGGGCCTCGAGCCCCGCTTGCCGTGGCCAAGTAGTAGTGTAGGAGTAGGACCCCACACTGCAGTCTGCACCACTCACATCTACATTTTCTACAGTGTTATGAGCCTGTATGACCGTATTTGCTCCCAAGCTTCCAATTTCATCGGATACTTTGAGTTTTGGATAAGCTACCAACACATGGTTCCCATGTGTGGATGCAGTGGCAAGTTGGGACAGTGTTGAAAGCGTTTTATTGGTTGAAAATACATTCCAACAAGCTTCCAATTCCGCTAGTTGTATGGACGTGTTCATCCAGAAAATCATTTCAGAGCCTCACCCCCTACACTTCAAGGCTCCTACTTTGGAGATGTACGACAGTTCCTCAGACCCTGATGACCACTTGAAAAGTTTCAAAGCGCTCATGATACTCTATAGGTATTCCGACGTCTTGACGTGCCGAACTTTTCAGGCCACCTTCAAGGGGGCAGCATGCCGCTAGTTCTCCAGCCTCCCCCCGAGGTCAAAAGAGCGTCGTCTCACTCATGTCCATCAAGTAGAAACCGGGCGAAAGATTGTGGTCCTACATTGACCGCTTTAAGAAAGAAGAGCTTCGCCCTCAAGTGTTCGATCGCCAAGACCCCGCCAAAGACAAAGTTGGAGTTCCTCAAAAAGGCCCAAAAGTACATAGCGGCCGAAGAGGCTTCGGCCGGGGACCATCAGGAGAAGGAAACTGAACGCAATAGCGGACCGTCGGGGAAGAAAAGGAAAAATGAAGACCGCCGAGGTGATAGCGACAAAGATAACAGGAAGTCATCGGCCTCGACCATGGCTTACAGCCAATATACGCCACTCAACTCCTCTCGGACCCAGATCCTGATGCAAATAGGCGAGGAGAAGTTTGTGAAGTGGCTAGAGAAGATGAAGAGGAACCCCAGGAGGGAGAACCCCAAAAAGTACAGCAAGTTTCACCGCGGCGTCGGCCATGACACCGAGGACTGCTATGAGTTGAAGAACAAAATAGAGTCCATCATCCGCCGCTGTCATTTGAAGAAGTTCGTCGGGGGCAAAGCCGGCGCTTCATCCTCCCAACAACACCTGCAGGTCACCGGAGTCATCGACGTCATCGTCGGGAGCTCAGCCTCAGCCCGCAAGGCCTATGCCAAGCAGTTGAACGTTTGAGGGCCAGCCCCCAAGAGGCCAAAGTAGCATGAGGACCTTAATGGGATTACAGTCCCCCATGATGGCGCGCTGGTGATTTCGGCCATAGTGGCAAACTTCCGAGTCAAGAGGATTCTCGTCGACAGTGGCTCCTCGGCAGACATCCTCTTCTATGAAGCCTTTGAAAAGATGAAGATAGCGCTAGAGCGTCTTCAGCTCGCCGACGTCCCAATGGTTGGCTTCTCCGACAATGTCATTAGGCCGAAAGGAAAGACCACCCTACCGATCATGATAGGAACCGAGCCTCAGCAGGTGACGAGGATGATAGAGTTCCTTGTTGTGAGGATTGACTCCCCCTACAATGCAATCATGGGGAGACCAACCCTTCATGCACTGCGAGCTGCCATGTCCTCATACCACCTCGCCCTAAAATTCCCAATCGAGCATGGCGTCGAAGTTGCTCGGGGGCATCAACACATCGCCCGTCAATGCTACTTGGCGGCACTGAAGGGCAAGAGCAAATAAACATTGCCACTTGAGGGCCTTGACCTCAGGTAAGAGCCAGCAAGCCGAGGCCAACCGGCCGAGAACCTCATCTTTGTTACCCTGGGCGAGGACGAGCCCAAGAAGATAGTCCCTATCGGGTCCAACCTTCCCCCCAGAGAACCTATCCGAACTAGTAAGTTTCCTCAAAACTAACTTCTCTTGGTCCGCTGCTGACATGTCCGGAATTGACCCTTTGGTCATTACTCACAGGTTGATCGTGGACCCGAGCTCTAGGCCGGTTCGACAGAAGAAGAGGAACTTTCCACCAGACCAATAGAAGGCCATAGGAGAGGAAGTTGACAAGCTACTCGACGTCGGATTCATCCGAGAGGTATACTATCCAAACTGGCTGTCGAATGTGGTTTTGGTTAAGAAAGCTAATGGGAAATGGTGAATCTGTATTGACTTTACAAACCTTAATTGAGCCTACCCCAATGACAGTTTTCCTTTGCCAAGAATATACCACCTTGTCGACGCCACTACACGATACGAATTGCTTAGCTTCATGAATGCCTTCTCTGGATACAATCAGATAAAGATGCACCCCGAAGACGAAGAGAAGACCTCATTCATCACCAAACATGGTACATACCGATACAAGGTGATGCCCTTCGGGCTTAAAAACGTAGGAGCTACCTACTAGCATCTTGTTAATAAAGTGTTCAAGGATTAGATGGGGAGGAATGTTGAAGCCTATGTAGATGATATGGTGGTGAAGAACCTGAAAGCCGAATCACACACCTCGGACTTGGTTGAGACCATCGACACTTTGCGAAAGTTTAAAATGAAGTTAAATCCCAACAAATGTGCCTTTGATGTAACTTTGGGCAAGTTTCTAGGCTTCATCATCACTTAACGAGGCATTGAGGTCAACCCTGAGAAGATATAGGCCATACTGGATATGGCACCTCCTTGGTTGGTGAAGAAAGCCCAAAAGCTCATTGGCCAAGTGGCGGCGCTCAACCGCTTAATGTCAAAATCAGCTGACCGATGTCTTCCCTTCTTCCAAGCCATCAAGAAACTGAAAGACTTACAGTGGACGGAGGAATGTCAACGAGCTTTCGACGAACTCAAGGAGTACCTTGCCTCACCTCCCCTCCTGGCCCGCCTAGTCCCTGGATAGAC